GACACAAGGGACACGGGGGGCACAGGAGACGCAAGGGACACAGGGGACAAAGGGGAAACAGGGAACACAAGGGACACAAGGGGACACAGGGTACACAAGGGACACCGGGGACCCAAGGGAACACCGGGGACACAAGGGACACAGGGAACACAAGGGACACAGTCGACACAGGGGACACAAGGGGCACAGGGGACACAAGAGACACAAGGGACACAAGGGACACAGGGAACACAACAACCTCGTCCCCAGGGCGCTTTTCCCTGGCTGAGGAGGTGGGGCGGGAAAAGGCCCTGGCATCGGCCGGTCACATGACCACCAAACACCCAGAATTTGCGGGTGTACTAAATTAGCATACGATCGCATACGATAAACAAAACATCGAAGATGGCGGGTAGATCAATGCTTCGCCGGGTCGGATTTCCCTGAGTAACGGTTACTTTCCACCGCTTAATTTTAAACCTCTTCAAACAAAATGTTTCAAATCTATCCTGAAAGGCCAGGATGTTATTGGAGTCTTACCAACTGGATCTGGCAAGTCGATGCTATTTCACGACTGTACCGTTCTCGCCAAGATAAAGCCGAAACAACTAAAGTTGCTCTTGTAAAAGCAACTAAGCACAAAGCCGACCCAGCAACTAATGAGATTCGCGTGGAGAACCGAAACCATGGTCTTTCCGGATCACAAAGTGGCAATAACAAAACAGTCCAAACACTGTTAAGCTTTATTATTCAAAAGCTATTACCGAGGAAGGAAATACGCGCTCCAGTCAAAAGACTCCGGCAAAAGACCCTTACTATCTTTAGAAAAACACCAAGCTGGAGTCTACTAAGTCACAATGCAATACTCCATAGTTGATGCAGCTTCGGTTAAGCTACACTTCATTCTTATAATTTTGGACCTGCAAATCACTATCCGTGATAATTTAACATGCATGCAAGAAAACAAACAAGCTGGGCCCAGCGTGATACAACATTGCAGAAAAACATTACATCCACGGACTAAAGAAAATCGCTTAGTTATTCAGATCCAAAAGGCACTTTGGAAAAAATTACAACCCTTATTCAACCGTAACAAAAAGCTCTACGCTTCAAAATAGGTCAAAGAAAAAATGCTCTTGCATCAGAGGGAAAATCCTGCCCGCCAGAAACAAACCCCCCGGGGGGGGACTCCCATATGAAACAGACGGGGATGCTCGTCGTCTCGCTTAGGGGTGTAAATTTTGGATTTTGGTCTCGCTTAGGGTGTTCCGGGCAAAGCGCCAATATTTTAAGCCGCCAAGGTCTCGTTTAGGGTTCCGCGAAGAACTTGAGATTTATGACAATGCTTTTAAAAACTACTTTTAGATAAAAGCATTCGACGATTATGTCTTTATATCATTAAAACTCATTGCATGTCATATTTGTGTGTTTTTAAGCGGTCTCTTTTAGGGGCCAAAATTTGCTTAAGCCACGCCCAGATTGGTCTCCTTTAGGGGTTAAATTCAAAATTTCCGACGAGCATCCCCGTCTGTTTCATATGGGAGTCCCCCCCCCGGGACAAAACCACAGTAAATCGATAGTGTGCAATGACTTCTCAGTGTGAAACAAGCGGCCCAGCAAAAATGCAGAAACTTCCAGACCATAATCTACTTAGCTAAGGAAAAAACTTATTGAAACAAGCAGCATTTTGGCATGAGTTAAAAGTCGTGTAGGCCTTCCAACCCCTTTTTATTGCGGGTCATCCACATCGAAGCTTTCGGGTGACAGCTTTGATAGACGCTTCGACGGTTGATGCGAGGACGGCGGTGAAAGTTGAACGCATCGCTTTACAGAATATTCTGAGTTAAGATCACACAGCGTATTGTCTACAGATTAACCTCTCCAAATAAACTGATCCATTTTGTCTACGAATGTAACGCCACCCCTACATAACACTGCCGACCTCGTATCGTCCTCAGAAATGTTTATTGACATTGCCACAGGTTTTATAAACTTTCAAATACAGATCTTTTGATAGGCAGGGCTTGCTGAATATTCGAAGCATATAGCGAATCTCATGAGAACCACCACATAGCCTGCAAACTGGGTTTCATAAAGAAATCTTCGTTGAAGGGGACATGCTTTCCGCCTTTTCGATTTCGCTATAATGCATAAATTATTTTCATCTGGCCATTTTCTTACATGAATTACCTAAATCAATCAACCAATCAAAATGACGGATTGGCCGGCCGATGCCAGGGCCTTTTCCCGCCCCACCTCCTAAGCCAGGGAAAAGCACCCTGGGGACGAGGTTGGGAACACAAGGGACACAGTCGACACAGGGGACACAAGATGCACAAGGGACACAAGTGACACAGGGAACACAGGGGACACAAGGGACACAGTCGATAGCAGGGACGCAAGGGGCACAGGGGACACAAGAGTCACAAGGGACACAAAGGACACAGGGGACACAAGGACACACAAGGACACACAAGGGACACAGGGGACACAAGGGGACACAGGGTACACAAGGGAGACCGGGGACCCAAGGGAACACCGGGGACACAAAGGACACAAGGGACACAGGGGACACAGGGACATAGGGAATAGTAAGTAAGATTGTGGTCTGTTTATGTAATTTTTATAAAAATGTTTGGGTCAAAAATAAGGTCAGGATTCTTTTTACTAATCATGTAGGCTGAAAATAAAATTCGCTTTCTGGGAAAGCTGCTATGAATTTCAACGAAACAGCGGCCGCTCAAAAACTATTATCTCTTTTGAATAGATAATCTTGTTGGAAAGTTGTCGTTTTATATTGTCGGTGAAATGTTCAGGACAAATGAGATTTTTGTGGATTCGGTAGCCAGCTAGCTCTACTTTCACCGCTAAATTTAGCTTTTGCGTATTTAGTCTTAGTACGTGATACGTACACGACACCAAAGACAATGCGGGACTTTATAGATTTACATACCTTTTTCTAAAAGAATCACAATAATAATCGTATCTTTTCTTTTCTTATACATCGCATTTTACTGGAATAAAAGTCTTAAGTCATGTTTTAGCCTCGTAGACACAGCAATTAAAAACAGGTGAAAATATTTAATTATCATAAAACTGAGACGACTCCCGTTTTTATTCAGAGATTTTTCAAAATACAAAACTTTAGTTTCGCGTCCCCGACCGTACTTTACGCCTGTCAGAACAGAAGTAACAATCTCTTTTGAAAAACTAACTAATGAACCATCCTAATTTGAAGAAAAAATTTTAATGCTATTTAAAATCGAAAAATGTGCAGCTTGTTACGTTCATAGTCAAGGATTATGTTACATGTGAATTCAAGTGGAACAATCTTTAAACATCAACGCACGCCCGGTGCCCGATTTACATGTAACAAGACGCCTAAAGTCGTTTCCGTGAGATGCGTTGGTCTATGGAAGCATAATGGCGTTCTATCTGAATTTGGAAAAATTAGGGAAACCGGAAAGATGTGTCATGTTATGAGCATCGATGAGTGGGTTACCTGTATGGGTTGGTTTAATGTGCTTATCACTGAATTTATAGTAGCCTGCTTGGCAGGCTACTATTTCTCCCCAATCCTTATCCCCTTTTTGCTTCCTCCCTATCCCCTACCCCTTTCGACACCTGCTACGCAAGCTAAATTTATAGTTGTCAGTGGTCGCAAGGATGGAGTTGATCTTGTTTTGATCTATGGCTATGTAGTTATTTTCGTAGCACGATTTGGATCAGAAAAAGAAGTTATTTTGCATCAAAACAAGGTTTACCCGTGTAACTTAAATTGGAATGTTAACGGAAACAAGTAATGGAGAACATGCACATAATGCTCTCTGTTTAACCTGAACAGGAACTATATGTATCAAGATAAGTCATATCTTGGTAGTAAGTTGCCACAGGTAACTTTTTCAAAGAGAAATAAACATTGTAGTTTTAGGTTAATGGAACAAAACAAAACAAAACATCCACTTGCTTTATCCAGGGTCGAACCCAGGGTTACAAAGCTCGATAAGTTCCAATGTTTTAATCCAAGATGAAACTTTAATATTCCAAGATGCTCTTGATATGGTTAAAAATTAAAAATTGCAATGTGTTTCCAAGGTCTCAAAGTTAACAGAGTTCCAATGATTATCCCTGATTCCAAGGTATAATAAGTTTACTAAGGTCCTGATCCGTGTCCCATCCAGAAGTCCAATCCATGCTGAAAGCGAGTCGTCGATCGACAAGAACAATATTTTCGCGATTTCACCGCCAATCGTCAAGGGTACGAGTTGAAATTTACGCGATTTAACCTCCCATCGTCAAGGTGTTTTCGATAAGAAAAGAAAAAAACTGAACTCTAGCTGTGCTCGGCAAAAACTGGCGAACTCCGAATAGAAAAATCTATCGGAAATCATGGCCCGCAACTAGACGCTACTAAAACCTTATGAAAAAGCTAGACCTAAACAAAAAAGAATCAGGAAGGGAAGAAATAATTTGGCTTAGGTCGCCTTTCGTGATTTGCCAGTATCCCGAAGGATTTCGCTGGTTAACAAGCCATCCTAAACCACGAGTGGGAAAACTCAAGGGTGACAAATTTGGCAAGCAACGTTCTGATTTCAACGTTCTTCAGAGGAAGCAAATCGATTAAAAGTCGATACAGATTTTTTACAATCTGATTGGTCGGCTTGGAAGAAGAGATAATCGATAAAGATTTTAGGCAGTCCTATTGTCTGGCTTTGCAATTTGTTCGTACAATGAAAGGTTCTGAAACGTTCTTCAGAGGAAGCAAGTCGATCAAAAATCGATAAAGGCTTTGTACAATCCCATTGGTCGACTTGGAAGAAGAAATAATCGATAAAGGTTTTAAGCAGTCCTATTGGCTGGCTTTGCAATTTTGGGTACAACCGAACCGGATTTTTACCGTGGGAGTGCCACAGGCATCCCACGGAACAAGACGCTGCAGTAGTGTATATTTCCAGGGCGTCGATGTACTTGGCGTGTGTGAAGTTGTTTTATGTGTATTAGGGATGTGTGAGTAGTGCAGTAGCGTTGCATATTTTATAGTGTTGGTTGAGACGCGTGAACTGAAGGCGTGGAGTTATATTGGACGTGAATTGGTAAGACAATGGCTGTAGTTTGTTGATCAGTGAAACTTGTTTCTCGTAGAATTTAATATGAAGTAACATAAAATAATTATTTTGGGAGGTAAAAGTGATTTTAGGTGTTGCAGTGAGGTAGTCGTGAAAGTGCTTATTTGGTTATGAAGGGATAGTGTTGTTACAGTGCGTTGAAATGAAGTGGTGGTTGTGAAAAGTCTTATCAATAGTCGAAAACCTGATAATGATAAGGCACACGAAGAGTTCGAATATAGAAACATCCTCCTACACATTATTACACATTATTATCCTCCCCCAGAGATAAGTTGAAGTTCATTGGTCAAATATCAATACAAATGAAACGTCAGATATTGATTAAACACAAGTTTGTTTTATTTTGATACATGTTTTTAACAACAACGTGATGCATTAAAAAAGTTAATAAGACCATAATTTAGCCTGCCTGAAAGCTCTCGTGATTTTCCTCTTTGGCTTATATCCCCTTTCGTGGCATACAATGCAGAACAGCTAGCAATCCTCTCGAATTACTAAATCGACCTCACTTCCACAAAGGATCAGCGAATGCAATATAGTATGGAACCTCTATTTAGCCTGAGTTCAAGTTAAAACGCAGACAAAATCCATCTCTTTTAATATATTTAGAGTTTTCTTTGTACTCAGTTGAGGAGAACTAGGTAGATAGTAAAAGTTGCGCCTGTTGATTTTTGTTCGTACAACCGTTGCTACTAACAAGTAAAAACAGAGAGGCGGCCCCCAAAAATGAAGCTGGCGGGGACGAGAAACATTTGCTTTTTTTTACTTGGCCTTAAGCTACTTTGTTAATAATTCGTCGCGAAAGTTAGAGCAAGATGAAAAATCTTTCGTGAATTGTATATTGATAAAGTAATTAGATGAGACCATCAGTTCATTGATCAAAAAGTTTACGAGTAATTGGGTAATATTTGGAATCAGAGCCTTGACTTTATTATAAAAATTATTCCGTAAAAAAAAAATTTTTCGAACGAAAAGCAAAGTGAATTTCGTCTTCTTCTTGGATGATACACAAAGACGGCAATTTCCATTATCTCTACTAGTTTGATCAGGTATCTACCAAGTTTAATCATAGTTTTAAAACGTTTTGAATCTAGTGATCATGAACCAAGTCATCTAAATGGTTGTTCCAGCATGCATGCAGTAATATAATTGGTAGACTGCAAAACAAAAAGGTTTTTTTTCTCAAAATCCGGGTTTTGCAAGACCCTTAGCGTCCCCGGGGTGTGAGATACGAGAGCGTCTCTCCCCACCCTCACTCTTCGTTTTCACCCTCCTCCTCTTTTTTTCTCCTTTCCGGTTTTATCACTCGCGTTCATTGTACAAATTCTCGTCAGGGGCACCCAACTACTCTTTTCTGTGAAATATCTCAGTCGGAGAAGCAAAAATTGCCTAGAATTTTCTATAGCTTGAGGAAGGCTAAAAATTTGTAGACGACCGTTCCATTCATGTACAATTCATGAAACTTATCTAATAAATTCCCTACGAGTTTTACTATTTCACTCCCCAGGTTAAGCTATTTTTCGTAGAGAAAGGAAACCTAAAATTTTCGGAATCGAAACTGCGATGCAGAGAGGAACCAGAAAAATTCCCACTTTCGTGAATCTTTACATGACAGCTACAATTGTCGGGAAAATAACACTGAAGCCCTTGTAATTTCCACTCAAGTTGCCCTAGAATATGACTGAACAGATATAAAAATTTTAGCGCCACTTAGAACACTTTTCTAGAGATCTAAAAGTACTCTGGATAACCTGAAAAGTGTGTTCAATCCATTTAGGGGGAATACGTCGTTGGATGCCCCTGTCTCGTTGCCAGAGGCCGCGATCCTGGCACCAAGGGCCTATTCCGTTAGACAAAGGTGACGAGGGGACTGAAATAAAGGCTGTTTTGCAGTCTGTCAATTAGATACTTGTTAATATTAGAGGCAAGGGTTAAGAGTATTGCCAAGGTGCAAAAACATACGAAATATCCGAGGTGTTTTGCGATCTCAAAACACGAGGCGGAGCCCAAAGAGTTGATACAACACGGACACCAAGCGTTGTTTTTTGAAGACTTAGAAAGACTTCAACAAAAAACTTAATTGTGGCAGTGAAGGTGGATTTCCACTGTCGAGTTATTTTCACGTGCGTATGCATATAAAATAGAGGCAATGCATGGAAGATCCCGCGTAAAATAAGTTGAACCTCACTCGTTTACCCGCGACCTTTCATACAGTGCCTCTATTTTATATACGATTTACACTTGACAAGCAGAAAACTTTGTAAAAAAACAAGATCACCTCCAGCCTTACTTCTATTTCAAAGACCATAATGGCACTAAGCACACAACTGTAAAATGGACTAATAAACCCTTGTTCTATTATTAAGGCCTATATATATATATATTTATTAATAAG